TATGATAACATTAGTATGAATTTTTAATCAATATCTGCTTAAATACTGAGTATAATTTAGAAAATATATAATTTGTCAACATTCACTTAAAACTCATTCAAATAGTTAAATACCAAATAAAATAGTGTTTAAGTAGTTATTTCCTATTTTGAAAAAAAAATCTATTTCTGGTCCCCAAACCAAAATTGTTGTTCTTCTTTTAAAACTATGGTTGGTGTCTGGACTTGGATCATCATAATATTGGCTTGCCCTGAATTCTAATAGAGATAATTCTATCATGGGGGGAAGGGGGGGGAGGAGGAAAGAGAAGCATCCAAGCACTGACTGCAGCTCCCTTTTGTTAATAGGGATGACTTCCTTTCTTCTGTGGTGTTTTTGTTCATAATAGAAGCTTTGATGCTCCTCTCATGTGAAACGGTCTATTTCAGTATTCATTCTTATAATTCTGCTGGACTTCATCAAGCCTACCTTGGATCATGATTCCGGCATTCCCCTATACATTTTTCCAGCATCAACTTATCCTTTTGATTATGATGATACAGTATCAGCCGTTGACTGTCCTTTCAGCTTTAATCCAACCACATCATAAATACCAGTACTACTCACATATTTGATGTCTGTTTTTTCCCCCAATAGCTTGCTATATACATTGCAACCTGTAAAACCTATGTTCAGATATCATGTTTAATCATATTTCTTGGTAAGAACTGAAGTGGGGAAATAGTTTTATAACCTAATTAGAATTTATTCTGTCAGGGCTTTTCTCCTCAGAGATCAAGTAATTACATACTTCTAATATATTATAGAAAAGCCCTGAAGCAGAGTTAATATATACTTTTAGAATGTAAGCCTCGGTATGTTTGGAAATTTGTGAGTGAAATCACATAAAATACAGTCACTCTTATCTTGATATTCTGGAGAAGTATTAGATTGCTGTTAGCACTACAAAATGTGGATTTGATCCGTGCAGGGAGGAAAGCCTCAGCATATTAGAAGTTCATGGTGATTGTTCTGTTATGGTTTTTGATCTGCAAAGGCTAAATTTCAAAGTGATAGAAAATAAAATATTTAGTTTAATCAAATCTATGTTTCTTCACATTAAGAGAAAGTGTTTTCAAAAGTTATATTTGGAGTCTCTAAAGTTTACAGTTGCATGAGGCAGCTAAGGAAAGAAGAAATGAGATCTTCCAGTATTGTCAATAAACTGCCTGGCATGGCAGAGATTTAAAGATAATGCTGAATTCATTATGTCTGCTACTATAAGCACAATGTTTGGATAGGCTGTCATTTAACCAATTTATGCAAATAAAATATTGAACAAGCATTTTATTTGTTTAAAGGAATTTTTACACCAGAGCAGCATTTGCGATTTTTGGAGTTCTATAAGAAGCTTTGTACATTGGGATTAGAACAGGAAAATGGGCACAATGACAACCAGATTCAGCTGCAAACCCTAGAACAGGAAAAGAAATACATATCAGTGAGAAAGAACTGTGCTTACAATTTACCTGTGAGTGAAATGCTCTTTTATTTATCTATCCGTAATTTCTATAAAAGATAGATCTTGTGAAACTCTTTCTGATTTTAAAGAGAGATTATTTCCTCTGAAACACATTTTCTCCTAAATCAGAGAACAGTATTTAGTGGGGCTGAACCTTTTACTGTTTAACAAAGGGTAGATTAAAAGGCGGAAGAAGGGTCGCCTGATTCGATGGCCGTTGTCACTTACTCCAGGTAAACAGACAGATTATAATTTCTATTTCTGCCAGTTATTTTGGGAGATCAAATAGGAAAGTAGAGGAGGGGGGCAGACATATATGTGCTAACCTTTATTATATATTACATTGTTTATATTTCTAGGCCATGATGATTTTTGTGGATCCCAAAAATTTCAATTTGGAACTGTATTCTACATTCTTTTGTTTCTGTCATGATCCTGAAGCACCAGTCAGACATACTGTGGCTAGTAGTTTCTATGAAGTAAGTCAGGAAATGTATGTTATGGAAACACTGTTTGGCTTATTTTAAATATTGGATCTTATTTTGATATGTTTATAATTATCTAAAATATCACATTTTAACTTATTAAAAGTACTTCGTAAAAGATTGCCTCCCCTTAGAACTCCTTAGATTGAGTATACAATCTAAGATCAGTTTCAAGACACTACCTATAGTCATTTTGATAGAGTTGCTTCATATTGTGATTGTCAAGAATATTATTTTATTTATTTATTTAAAACATTTCTATGGCTGCAGTAATATAATAGTAGTATCTCAGTTATGGAACTCTCTTCCAGGAGAAGTTTGCCTAATTGCCTCTATTCCAGGAGTGCCCCTGAATGCTATCTAAAAACAATCAATATAGAATGCGACAGCACATAGTGATGGATGACAGCCATTACAGCCATGTGACTGAATATTGTAGGTACTGCATTGGTTTCCAGGAGGTTTCAAAATACAAGATGTTTGGTTTTTATTTTTAAAGAAATGGCTTCTAGCTAATTGAAGAATGTCTTCTCTGGGTAGAACCAACTGATAACAGTGTTCCAATATTTGAAGGGCTGCCAGAAAGAAGAGGGGGGTCAACCTATTTTCTAAAGCACCAGAAGTCAAGACAAGAAAAATAGATGGAAACTAATCAAGGAGAAAAGCAACCTAGAACTAAAGAGAACTAAGGAATAGTGAGAAAAATTAACCAGCAGAATGGTTGTGGGTCCTCCATCACTGGAGGCTTTTAAGAAAAGACTGGACAGCCCTTGTCTTGAATAGTATAGGGTCTCTTGATTGTACAAGGGGTTGGCCTAGAAGACCTCCAAGACCTTCTAGTTGTTCTGTTCTTTTCTGTATCTAATTTGTCCATTCCTGTTGAAATGTTGAAGGAAACTCACAAAAGGTGAGATTGGGAACGGTGATGGTCCCACTTTGTAGAACAATCCCTTACTGCAACTCTGACTTTTTAAAACCAATTAATACGAGAGCAATTCGGAAATAAACCTCTGTTTGGTTATCAATGACAGACACTCGCAGATACAGAACTTTTATTATACACATTAGAAAACTACAACATTACATTACTTTTCGACATAATCACCATTCAAATTGGGGCATTTGTCATAAGGTCTTACAAGGTTTGAAATTCCTTCTGCAAAAAAATGTCTCACCCTGTAACAGCATCGTGAAGTGCATTATCATTGAAGCGGTGCAACACAAGCCACTGTTTTCATGTGCCTGAAGAGGTGGTAGTCCTCAGCACTAAATCGGCTATAGGGGGGTGTGTGATCAAAAATATCCCAATGGAACTGCTTCAAAAGTTCTTCGGTGTGTCTAGCAATGTGTGGGTGAGCCTTATCGTGTGTGTCTAGCAATGTGTGGGTGAGCCTTATCGTGAACCAACACCACACCGGAAGACAGCATGCCCCGACGCTTGTTATGGATGGCTCGTCTGAGTTTTCGTAATATTTCACAGTAGATTTCTGAATTGATGGTTGAACCACACTCCATGAACTTCATTAGCAGTACTCCTTTGGCATCCCAGAATATTGTTGCCATAACTTTTCTGGCAGACAATGTTTGCCGAGCTTTTTTGGATTTCTTTGGTGAGTGCGTATGACACCATACCATTGATTGCTGTTTGCTTTCAGGGTTCACGTATGATACCCAGGTCTCATCGCCAGTCACAATTCTGTTAAGAAATTGTTCTCCTTCCTCTGCATAATGCGTGAGAAAGTCCAAAGCAGAACCCATTCGGTGTGTTTTGTGCTCCTCAGAAAGGAGTTTTAGTACCCAATGAGCACAGAACCTGTATCCCAAATTTTCTGTCACTACCTCGTACAAAACAGTTCAAGAAATTTGTTGAAAGTGCAGATATTGTGAACTGACGGACTTCACAGCCTTTTTGTCAATTTCCTGCATGAGTTCATTGCTGACTACAGAGGGGCGGCCACTTCTTGCCTCATCATGCACATCAGTTCGTCATCTTTAAACATGTGACACCATTGATGTATGACACCTTCACTCATGCTTGGTCCGTAAACGTTACACAGTTCACGATGAATCGCAGCTGCTGAAAGGTTTTTTTTGCATATAGGAATCGTATTACTGCACGCACTTCACATTTGGCGGGACTTTCTATGGCAGGGTTCATTTTCAATTGATCTAGCAGACGAGTCAACTGCAACACAACCGTCTCCTTCCACTCCTCACTGCCTACTGAACTATTGTACATGGTCCCATGGGACGGGCATCGCTATCCCCGCCTATTTCTTGCACAAGCTCAAACAGAGTTTTATTTCCGAATTGCCCTTGTACAAGAGTTATTTCATGGAATATTTGGAAGCTGAAGTTATCCAATGATGTCATGGCATTGTCAGACATGTATTTTGATTATTGTTTGTTATTTGGATTCTTCTTTTTGGATTATATTTGTGTTTTAATTGTTTTTAATATTTTAATTAATATAAATTGCCTTCAGTGATATATAAATAAAAAAGTAAATATCAGCATCTTGAATAACACTTTTCAAAGCCAATGCAGCACCCATAATATAAGTACCATACTACTAAATTGACTTTCTGAACCAACTGCAATTTCCAGATAATCTTCAGGGGCAGTTCCAGGTAGAGTGTGCATTGCAGTGATCCAATCTAGAGGTTATAAGAATACGGATTACAAAATTTTCTCTTTTTTAATCTCCTATTGTTTGTAATATATACTTTATTCCACTGCTTTCAAGCACTTGTTCTGTAATAATACTTTAGCACCTTGATTAATTTGTTAAAGGTTTACAAATCAGAACAGGTATAAACATACCTCTGAATAAACATAGCTATAGCCATACAGTAAATTCCATTAATTTCACCTAAAGATAAAATAGAGTTTCTACATTTTATTGGTGTCGGGCCATTTTAGTTGAACTTTCTGAAACGGCTTTACAACCTGAATATAAAATTTCAATTATTTTTTTTTCATTGTGTTGATTGCCTCTGTAAAAAGATACCATTAGGAAAATCCTAAGCACTCCACCCACTATCCTCTCACTGTATATCAGTTGTTTATTGGTTTACTTATATCTGTGAAGAAAATAGCAACTCAGGAAGATTTAACCGCACTTCCCCTGTCAATGAAATTGCAGAATTGCAGTTTGCTGACTTCAGAAACCTGTCCAGAACTTTCACTACCTTTCACCCTCTGAGAAGGAATTAGCCCATTGATGGCAACATAGTCCAGATATATCTCCACAGTAGAACCTCAGCTTTACTACTGAAAAAGTATCTATTGGGAAGGAATAAAACCATATAAAGCAATTCAACATGAAAACTGTTGAGAGGTCTAGGGGAGTTAGCAGAATTTCAGTTATACAATTCTCCTGTCAGTCAAGCATTTTGATAAGGAATGTTTTAGTTTCAGACTTAGTGCAGAAATTGATCTGAAGTGGGTGTAAGTAATCTATGTCAGTCTTGAGCAATTTGCTGCTTACTTAAATACTTTACCCAAAGAAGGAAAGTTTGTTATTACACAATAGCATAATACAGAATGCGTTCTTTAGTAATTTTTCCACAAACTACCATCTTCAAGACAGATAAGACTGTTCCCTTTCTTAATGAAGTATTTGTTTCTTCTTGGACTCTTAGAAAAAAATGAATAATGTTCATTTTTTTCTCTGTTTTGTCAATATCAGAAGACAGAATAATACTTAATACATTTGGGAATTAGAATCTGATCAACTGTGTTTTATTTATTTATTTATTTATATTTAAACTTCTATGCCGCCCTTCTCCCCAGAGGGACTCAGGGCGGCTCACAGCATGTTAAAAAACAACACAAAAAAACATTTCCCCTATAAAACCAATTAAAAAGCAAATATATTAATAGCTGTGTCATATTTTACATTAGTAGGAAGTACATGGGAAAATGTTTGCAAAATTTCAAAGTATATTTGGATTATATAAACTAGCAAACTATTTCTGAGAAGTTATTGTCAAAGAACACAGTTGCTACTACATACTTTTTCTATGTTTTCATCAGCATAATACTATATTACAAATAGTAAGGAAAGGACAATCAATGGTCTTAAAGTACAGCTATTGGCATTTTAGGTTTAGTCTATATCTTAGTTTCCTATTCAAGATACTATTCAAACTTTGTTTTAAAAAATAAAACATAGATTAAAAGGACTAATATCTGTATATTGTTTTGTAATTTTCCAGGTTGCTAAGCTTTTAAATACTGATGTGTATGTAATACATAAAGAACTGATAGCCCTATTGCAGGATGAATCAATAGAGGTAATGATCTATTTGCTCTTTATATTTGATAATTCACAATTATTCAAGTTATATTTATTAAAGGAAGGAATTCTTAATGGGTCAAAACATAGGATGAATCATAGCTGTTTATCTCATGATCTTAAACATAAGGGACAGAGAATGTTGTCACTATAAAGTGATATGAAAGTGATATGGGATAACTCTTACAACACTTTCCCAGGAGAAATAGAAAATGCCTAAAATTGGATTTGCAAAATAAATCACTATTCAAAGGCATATATAATAGTTTGATCTCACTCCAGTTTGATATGCCTTAGGTTCAATCAGTCTAATTGGTGCTAAGTAAGATTCCCTTTAGTATATGTTCAGTTTTGCTCCAGAAATTATATTGTTAAATCAGAATGTATGGGTTGACAATAGAAGACATAGTTATGCAAGGAAGGCATACAGTATTCAGGCTAGGAAATGGATTGGGAATATTCTGACTAGGAAAACAAAAAGGAAGTAATTTCTAATATTTTTAAATGCTGGAAAGCAGAACAACTATATTGGAGTACTATAATATTTCCTCTTAAACTTGTCTTCTTTGATGAATATTGCAGAAGTGTGGCTTAAATCAGAAAGGAAGAGATTAGATGAAGCGGTGAATAGATAAGTCACTCTCTGTGTTTAAAGAACTATGTTTCTTGAATGGAAGATTCTCTCCCAGTTTTAAGTGGGAATTTATGATAGATAAGTACTCTGACTAGTGGTGATTGGTCAGCTGGTCCAATACTTGGAACTGTATGGCACTGCTGCAAGGCATTTTAGAGATGAACTGACACCTAAATTCATATGATAGTACATTGCTTAAGAATGGGTATTTCTGCAGCAATGGAAGGTTCCAAATACCCTTTGTTAGGCCTGTGAGGAGCAGACCAGGCCAAGAAATAGGCTCCATGGAAGACTAAGAAATAATTTTGTTTCAATTGGCTATAGTACCATGTTTGGGTAGTACATACGCTGGATCATGGAGAAAGCAAGGGAGTTCCAGAAAAAAATCTACTTCTGCTTCATTGACTATGCTAAAGCCTTTGATTGTGTGGATCACAACAAATTGTGGCAAGTTCTTAAAGAGATGGGAGTACCAGACCATCTTATTTGTCTCTTGAGAAACCTAGAAGAAGAAGCAACAGTGAGAACTGGACATGGAACCACTGATTGGTTCAAAATTGGGGAAAGAGTCCGGCAAGGCTGTATTCTGTCACCCTGCCTATTTAACTTATATGCAGAGCACATCATGAGAAAGGCAGGGCTAGATGAATCAAAAGTTGGAATTAAGATTGCCGGGAGAAATATCAACAACCTAAGATATGCAGATGATACCACTCTAAAGGCAGAAAGTGAAGAGGAACTAAAGAGCCTCTTGATGTGAGTGAAGAAGGAGAGTGCAAAAGTTGGCTTGAAACTCAACATTAAGAAAACCAAGATCATGGCATCCAGCCCTCTCAATTCCTGGCTAATAGATAGGGAAGAAATGGAGGTAGTGACATATTTTATCTTCCTGGGCTCCAAGATCACCACAGATGGGGACTGCAGCCAAGAAATTAAAAGATGCTTGCTCCTGGGGAGGAAAACTATGGCAAATCTAGACAGCATACTAAAAAGCAGAGACATCACCCTGCCAACAAAAGTATGTATAGTCAAGGCTATGGTTTTCCCAGTTGCAATGTATGGCTGTGAAAGTTGGACCATAAGAAAGGCTGAGCGCAAAAGAATTGAGGCCTTTGAACTATGGTGCTGGAGAAGACTCTTGCGAGTCCCCTGGACTGCAAGGCGATCAAACCGGTCAATCCTAGAGAAGATCAACCCTGACTTCTCTTTAGAAGGCCAGATCCTGAAGTTGAAACTCAAGCACTTTGGCCACCTAATGAGAAGGAAGGACTCACTGGAAAAGAGCCTGATGCTGGGAAAGATTGAGAGCAATAGAAGAAGGGGACGGCAGAGAATGAG